ATCAGACCCCTTTGGTTTCTGTGCAGAGCCTTACAACGCCCAGTTACCTGGAGAAGGCGAATAAAACTGTATTTCTCGATGCGAGTGGTGGCAGATGTGCCTGGCAGTGCCGTGAGTGAGCATCTTGGGACCGGGCCAGGGACTTGCTGAATTGGGAGCACAGCCGGATCTGCTGGCAGTGCTGACGATCGGCACACTGGGGATCAGGGGAACAGTTCCATTTCATTTCATTGCAGCTGTATTGCTTTTAAATCCTTGCCTGAGCAGTTCTTGCGCTCTCTCTGCCCCAGCCCATCACCCCCTCAAGCCGTATACACAGTGGAACATAAGAACGGCCATACTGGGTCAGACCAAAGGTCCATCTAGCCCAGTATCCTGTCTTCTGACAGTGGCCAGTGCCAGATAATCACCAAGTGATCCATCCCCTGTTGCTCATTCCCATCTTCTGACAAACAGAGGCTGGGAACACCATTCCTGCCCATCCTGGCTAATAGCCATGAATGGACTGAACCTCCATGAATTTATCTAGCTCCTTTTTGAACCCTGGAACAGTCTTGGCCTTCATAACATCCACTGGCAAGGAGTTCCACAGGTTGACTGTGCATTGTGTGAAGAAATACTTCCTTTTATTGTTTTAAACCTGCTGCCTATTAATTTCATTTGGTGACCCCCTAGTTCTTGTGTTATGAGAAGGAGTAAACAACACTTCCTTATCTACTTTCTCTACACCAGTCATGATGTCATCACAAATAAGTCCTCTAGAATTACTATGGATTAAACATTGTTTCTAGTGGAGATGCCATACCATTGCTATGGTAACTCAGTAAATACCCAGTGTTACCATAGTATCGAGGTTTCCTTCATGGTAAGCAGGACGCTGATCTCATCTCATTTAAGCAGCTGTGGCACAGATCACTATCCGCTGGGACCGTGGCCCCAAGACTGTGTTAGAGCCCAGTGGCATTTCCCAACAACTGTGGTGCCTGGTGTACATCTAATTCCCACTGCCCTGAGCTGCATGGAGAACAGACATGTTATGCCCAGGATTGGAAAGTTCAGACGTTCCAAATCCAGGGGCCCACAGGATTGAGTAGCAGTGGGAAACACAGATGTTAAACCAAGGTCCTCTCTGCTCATTCCTGGTCACTGTCCAGGTGGAGGCTAAAGATGCCATGGGATAACTCCAGCCTCCTGGCTAAACAACATGAGAGCTGTTGCTTATCATGTAAGGGCAGCTGTGTGTCCCCTGTGCAGGCCTGGCCTAACTCATTACTTTGTAAACTAAAATGCTTTGAAACACTCTGGAAAGGAGAATACTCCAGTGCATGGCGCAGAGCGACTAGGAGTCCGGACTCTAGGGTTCCGTTCCTGCCTCTATCACTGACTTTGGACCTGATTCTCCATCGCCTTGTACCTCATGCTGTCATTCCCATGGTGCGAGCACGCTGCACTGCCTGTACTACCGCACAGTCCACAGGTGCCTTCAGGCCAGCACCTCGTCAAGCTGCACTGGAAAAATGCTACCCAGCCCGAGACGATTCTGCAGAAAGAACATCAGCAGTGGAATGTCCCTTTCCAAGCTGCATCACTGTATCGTCAGCAGTTTTCTATCTCCCATTAGCACCTCTGAGGGCAGAAACAGGATGTAAGTAAAGGTAACAGCTTCCCACTGCCTCTCTGTGGCCTCAGAAAACCTGCAAGCTTCCACCGCTTTCCCACACCACAGCCTTATGACTTAGCCCCGTCTTGTGTTTGCTCACGTAAAGCTGGTTTCAAACTCAAGAGGTAAACAAAAGCCCTGCACCAAGAGCCATGCTGTGCTTCACGCAGTGAGGTCGTGGTGGTCACAAGATGTCTGGGGAGAGGAGCGAGTTATACAGATCGGCCTGAACATGAGAAAATAAAACCTCCTGTTGCAGCACCCCAGCAAGCACTTTGCGCACCAGGCGTATGTCTGGTTTTTGTTAAGAGTTCTGTGGGATTTTATCTTATCTGTTTGTTTTCCATCTGACGCTATTTACTTTACTAAGCATATTCATTTCTCTTTTTGTAGCTGTACCTACCTCTGTAATGCGGTGCGCTGAGGACATACACAATCGGTTACAGAGCACAGAAGAAGAGATGGTCCATGCCTCGAGGAGTTCCCCATCTCACACATCAACAAAACCAGGGCCGGGGCTCAGGACAGGCAGGGAGAGCAGGCAACGCTGCCGGTGAGGTCAGTGTAGGAAGGATTTATGGGCCCAATAATGTCCTTAGCACGGATGGAACGTCACGACATCCACACATGTAGAATAAAGTCCATTTATTCCATGGATTGGTGCAATATCACAGCTTACATGATGGTGTAAGCTCACACACGTCCTCTAAATACATTTATGTCATGCTTTTCCTATGTACATTGCATTCACCCTCCTGTTCCTTTTTTTCCCCATAACTTTTTCTTGCACCTCAAAAGGTGCAAACTCGGCAGCTTAAGTTTTGGAGTTTTAGTGTGTGGGAAAGCAACAGCCGGCAAGCAATGGCTGCAGCTAGGTACAGCACAGCCAGCTTCCGGGCAGCCTTTCCACCCCCGTCCCTTCCCGCTCCCCCGCTATTCCCGTCTTGGGACGCAGCTCACGAACCCCCGGGAGTGTCCCCTGCTGTTCCGTACCTGGGTCCAACACATAGTAGGGCCAAAGCGCTCCTGTCTTGAGTTTTCCCAGTCCTTGGCCTCCCTCTCCTGGGCACTGGCTGCCAACGGTACCATAGTACGCAGAGCTTTTCCACTGCACAGAAATCCCCCCCCCCCAACGAACAAGGTGTGCAAACTCACTGCAGTGGTGCTTTAAGTGGCTTGTGAGCCGGTTCTCCCAGTGAGAAGGGGCAGTGCCCTGCCCTGCTAGTTCTAACGCATCCCTTTGCACTCACATACCTTGGCCCAGTTAGGAATGTTCTGTCCCGTTACAGGTGAGGATAAAATAACCCTGTGCTGCCTTCCAGCTTTGAGTCTAGAACCTATATCCAGAGGGTGGACCCAATCCAGACTGGCTGCTGAGTACTGAGAGGGGGGCTCACTTCTTCCCCCCTCACTGTGTTATACCAACAAAATAAAAACCAGCAGGATCTTATTAAGAGGGATAAGGCAAAGATGCCACATTTATTGTAAATATAATGATAAAGCAAAA